TTCCATTTTGTGGACAAGTGGTTAAATTGTACAATAGCAACTTCGACCTTGGGTAATGATGCTTGGTTTTATAGTGAATTAATCGTGGTGTAGGCAGCGTGGGAAAATGATGAAGCAAAGTAAACAAACTTCAATGACACAAATGAAAATAAACAGACAATGAACTAAGAAATTTCACGGCCAGTATTGAAGGGTGTTGAATTAATATTATTATAAACCGATACAAATTATTGAATAGTCACAGAAATGGTGGACAATGTATATGAGTGGTGATAATTTGTTTTAGGATTTCCTACTTGCAAGTGCCTAAATGTTTTTATTGTATCATGGAATATACAGTATCGCTTTTAAATAACGTTTTGGGTTTTAACTTAAAGCGCCCTTTATCGCCGAGATCTTGCTGCTTTTTCGCAGAAAGAAATATTTTTCAAAAAATGTAAGTATCGATTGACAATAAAATCATTTTCTTAAAACTACTGCAAAAAAATATTTAAATGGTTTGACCTTGTACTTATTTTATTATTCAGACTTTTCGGATTCTTTACCAGTTCCGTGTGATATGAGAAAAACTGTTACTACTTAAGTTTGGTAGTCGACCCTATGTAAAATTTCGTCTATTGGCGGTCGATGCGAAGCCCTAACTTTCCTTGACCGCGTTGACTTTGCGACGTGAGATTTTTTTCTTTACGACCTATTCTGTGTATTCACAAATATTCCGCCAAAGTCCCATATTGAGAAAACGTGTGATCTTACTGAGTTAGAATACAAGTGAAGAGATAATAAAACATGCAATGACATAAAATATGGCGTATCGTATGGATTAAAGCGGTAAAAGATTTTTTTTATATGTATTTCGGCCTTAACTGGAATCAGTTTAAGAAATTTTCGACCTTCTTTAAATATGATATGCTTAGCTGGAATCAGTATAAGAAATAGTTTGTTTCACAAATCGTATATTTCCTTTCATAATTGAATGGTATAACTACAAAGAAATGTATCTGTACCAGATTAAAAAAAAACGGTCAAGTGAGAGTTGGACTCGCTCACGAAGGGTTCAGAATTATCATATAAAAATACATGTTTATTGTATGCGTGCGTGTAAATATTCATTTTATTCTGTTTTTGATTAAAACGGCAACAGAAATAAATCATCTGTGAGCAACGGTGTTTTAGTAACAGGATGACCTTTTGGATACGGGACTCTAAAAAGGAGGTTCTCAACGGCACTTTTAAAACATCAGCATTCTATTCTTGAAGATTAAATGTGAAGGACAAATTTTATGCACGTTAGAAAAATCTATAAGGCCATGCGGTAACCGGTATCGAGATATAACCTGTCTATGTTGGACTATAAGAAACTTAAATTTTTGAAAAAATTCTGGAGTTAAATCACAAAAGTTACAAAAAAGTTATTTGAAAATCTATTCTATACAAAAGCGAGTTAGTGATATTTTAGCTTACCGTAGCGTCCATTGGAAATACCAGTATCTTGCTCGAATAAAGGACGTAAAGAACAGGGAACAGAGAACGGAAACCCAGGAAGCAACTGCGCATGTCAAGTTCACGGGGTTGCCATTCGAATGGTCTGTTTCTAATTTAGTAAAATATCGGGAATGGTATGAATTTTAAAGAAACGATTAATAAAAATGTAACAGCCAAATTATGCCACCATGACCTGTGATCTAATTAATATCTAACTTTAAGTTGTTTTAAGTTTTCATGGTTATTTAGATTAGAATTATGGTTTTTCGCGGAATTGCTATCGTGTACATAGTATATCGGGAACTCGACTAAAACAAGGCAGCAATGCCACGAAAAAATATGATTCTAATTTTAAGTTACTTTAAGTTCAAAGTACAGCAACTATAATGTTTAAATAAATCGCTAGGTATTTCTTTTATATACTAAGAAGACGTGAGTTTATTTGATGCTGGCAGTACCAAAATGTTTTCTTTAGTGTTAGACTTCAAATAACTGGACCATGACCAATCATGCTCAGATCTCAAGAGCTTTGGTTATACGTATCATTCAAAATTTACAAACAGCCCAAGAATCGTTGTGTCCGTTAGGGAGTCAGCAGTTTCAAGTTTCTATTCAACAAATACAGGAGACAATAATATTACTACATGAGTATATCTACCTATTTCTTTCCGAGAGAAAGCTTACATCTTAGATAAATCTGAGCAAGGTAATTATGCGAAAAGCACTGTGCATTTTCTGCGATTACGGAGGTTAAAACAACTTTCGCCAAGGTTAGGTCATTATCAAAACCTTATACAATTATATGCTTGGCACGTAGAACTTTGTTTAGTTGTTGTGGTTGATAATGCAACGTAAACAGTCGTTTTGCGACACAAGGAACATGGAAAGTCTGCATTCTAGAAATTAAGCAACTAAATGTCGTGTCGGAGATAGGATTGGTGGCCAAAACTTTATTATTTCCAATTCCTGCTTCGGAAGACACGCATGCCCGGCTTGCCTGGCTGAATTTCCAGCCGTTAACATCCATAAATCCATAATGGCCAGTTCTATTTGACCCCAGCGGTGTGGATATTAATAAGATAACGCTAATGATGCAACATGCTTCGAGTTGTTGGTTTATGCCATTTTTTATAATTCTATAGGACGAGGTGTACTAGAAAGTGGATTGGGATTATACGGTATATTTGTAAATAACCATGTCCAAAAAAAACCATTTTTATCCTATTTAATGTAATAAAATTACTTAATAAAGAGCATAGGTAATCTTATGATTAGATTGTCTTTCAATGAGGATTTGCTCTAAACCTTTTCAAACATTTAACTGCACACATCACGGAATCTTCCTATTTAATATTGGGTGTTATAGAAAACAGTAAAGTAAATTATTCATATCTTTGTGAGCAAACAATTGTAATCGGTAACCTAAAAAATCGGTAAATTGGACGCCGGTTTATTAATGTTTAAAAATATAACGATTTTCCGGATAAAAAGATACATAAGTGGAAGTTATCCGAGGTGGATTCACAATATTATGCCCACTGATACACTAACCAACATTGTGGCGATTGGAATTGGTCAATATGTCGGCGTAGAAGTTGGTGCGAGATCCACCGAAGCAAATTGGAAGGCATTCCAATGTGTGGACAACATCACAATCTGAAGTTGGCTAATGTGTAGGGTTGGCATTAGACTAATCTAATAATGTAATCTTTTCTTTTTTCAGACACATTCAACGATCTTATTTATATTTAATAATTTAAACAGGTCATTTGCTTTACTCAATGGGGTCCGCATGAGAAGTGCGAACGACTTCTTTGGTCTCTTTTAGTTATCGTTAAAATAATCTACTAAAAACAATCGATTTTATAGCAATAGTACAGATTCGAGTGTACAGACTTACGTGTTATTAGTTTACCTAACCTCCTTTATTTAAACTAATTAGACAGCATAAAATGTGATAGTATATGTATTTTTTTTGGTACTAAGTAAGTATAAATAACTACCTGTAAACAACGTGATTCATGATTATTTATAAAATTAACAGGTTACCATACCCGACCTTTTTCACCCACGCTCTCATCCATTTTAATTAACTGCTATATTTAAGTAAAACTAAGCTATTAATCATTTTTATGATCTTTATTGTTGAGGTGAGGAAACCAGCATCTCCGACGTTTAGATACAGTTTCAGGTCAATATAAAAAAACCGGTTAAGGGCGAATCGGCGCACGAGGGGCTCCGTATCGGAAACGAGTAATAGAATAGAAATACACAATCTGTGAAAATTTCAACTATCCTAGCTATTATGGTTCATGATTTACAGCCTGGTGACAGACGGACGGACAGCGAATTTTTTGATTATGTCTCGTAAATATAATGCTTTTTATAAAGGGAGAATCGATAAATATGTCAGTCACTTTCACTAAAACCGAGGGCTACTACGTGGGTATATCATGCAACGCCTTTACAATAATAGTAATGGTTAAGAATAATTAATTAAAAAATGGTTTAAACGCTCACTTTATAATTCTCAGACCCTATCCATGTCATTATTGGGAGGACTCAGTGTTTTATATAGAAAGAAAGAAAATACATTTATTGACCACATAGGTTGATACAATAATGATTTAACTTAAAAATAAAAACATTTATTAAAAGTGGTGGCCAATCAGGACTCTGCCTCAGCATAAGCCATACCAGTATATGAACTAGTGCCTAAAAATTTTGGAGGGATTACTATTTCTATATAGAAGTCATTAGGTGGTACTGCTGAGCTATTCTTTAAAAATCCGAACTCGAATTCGATTTCACTCATGTGTTCGGATTCACGTTATTTAGTGATGTAATTCTATTGATTTCATTTGTTTGTATCAAAAAAAAAAACAAAATAAAATTTATTATACGTGTCTCAGATATTCAATTCGTATGTAATTTCGAAAATCACTTCACTTATGTCACGAAACTTTATTATTACCAATTCAAGGTTGAGCGGATGTCGCTTTTTGAAGTGAATTCGTAAACCTGAGTGAATATGAATTTGGGTTTGGATTTTACAGAATCGCAGGGCTGGTCTCGAATCTAGTGCATTTTCTTCATCTCCCGCGTCCTCTTATAATGTCGCGCCTACTTTGCAATAAAGCACAATAAGCCACTGCTAGTAAATTTAAACCTTAGATTTGAAGGTTTTACTAAATTATACTGCACGTAGGCAAGTGGAGCCAGCAGTCCAAACTTAGAAGCGAAGATTTCCTATAGTTAAGACTAGAGTATTGTTTGGGTTGACAACGACATATTCTTGTCAGAAGCTGATTTTGCAAGCATCCCCACACCGGCAACCTATATTTTCCAACAAGAATTAGGTCACGCGATTCCATTCAAAGAAGCCGTAAATTTTTATAGTATTGCTTTATAAACTTACATAATTTGTCACAAAAGACTCGGGTAAGTCACTAATAATAAAAACTGAATCGCACAATTTTGTTACGCGAAATAACAACAGGTGCTCAGTAAAAACTTACCTGTAAATGTATAGGGACCTTCTTCACAGGAGCATTAGCCATTGTAACCGAATGAATACACTTATTCACAAAGCACGTACTTTATTTGAAAAAAAAAATAAACGGGTGTAGGCGAATTTCACGTTCACGAAAACACACGGACACGACGAACACAAAACAACTGCACTATCGACAACCGCCTACTGATTATTTTCTTGAATTGAATTTACAACGCTCCCCTCTACAGCGCATGCGTACAACTCGGCCTTGATTGGGGCGTTGGGGTGTTGCCGGTAAAGCACAACAAACGCCATCTATCTGAATTTGTATACTTCAACCAGTTTACAACAGATGTCACTGTCAAGCCGAGCAGCTAAAGGTTGCTTCACTGTTTTAATTTATTAACTTTATGATAATAGAAATAATGTAAAAAGAAATGAAAAAGAAAATTGCAAAAATATTGGAGAAAAATAAAGAAAAGAGTAAACAATTTTCAAAATCTAAAAAAATGTGATGTTCGCGCGATTCTCGCATTAAAGTGTAGATGACGCTAGTAGCTATATTTCGAAGGCGATCATTACATTGGTCTGGCGGAGTGAAAAGAAAGAGCCGCCGACCAAAACATTTAATCGAAACATGCGTCGGGCGCTACCGATTTTTGGCGCTCGAAAATTTCGCGTTAACTAAAATAAAAAAATATTTAAATTTAATCGTTAAAATAAATGTGACGTGAAGTGCCAGTGCCTGTTATAGCAGCACACATGCCAACATTACATTTGAAGCCGGGAATCACGGTAATATGCCGTAAATCTTTTCTCCGTATATTTTTGTGCTACGTATAAATAGAAGTGTATTCCCGTTTAGATTCCCGTTTTTACATTCTAGTTATTAATATAAATATGTATTCCTTCTAGAATTAAATAATCGTATATAGTCTATTCCAAATCTACCATAAATAGGTATTTGCTTTATTCAAATTTATGCCGACCAAGTCAACTTGAGCATTTGCGGAAAGCTCTACATTTTGTTTAGCCAACTACACGAGTTTTTCAGTACAGCAAAATAGGTTAGTTCTTGATATTCCTTTTTATAAAAATACTTTTAAACGGGTATGAGTAATTTTTGTTTTTCAATATTTCGGATCCTTTTTTGCATGTTTTGTGATCACGAAACAAACATTTGGCTATTTAATAATTTCTTTCTGTTTTTTTCCTGTCATTTTGCTCGCTGTTGCTTATATCTATTTATAATTACTTATAATGAAAATATTTCGATTCAGAAACACGATATTTTTCTAGCAGCTGTGAAGGTGGGCCTTTCACTGAACATTTAAACCGGCCCAACGGTTAACCAAGAAGTTCTTAGAAATTTTTTATCAATATTTAAGTAAATCTTACATAAATTATTTAAATAGTAAAGAGGTTGTATCTACCTTTACCACCTTTTTTTTATATTTGCATTTTTTTTTCTTCACTTATATATTATCATTGTGTTCATGTAGGTGTGGTCAATAAACTTTCTTTCTTAATTTCTTCTTTCTTACCTATGTAAATAAAAAAATTACCACCTCGCCTGATGATAAGCAGATTTGTAGACGGTTACGGTGAAAATATACTGTTCCCGATCTCTATATAAACTACATGCATGGTTCTCCAGGAATCTCGAGAAGAATTCATCAAAACATACGATGATCAAACGTCGCTGACCACGACCTTGAAAATAACAGTGTAAATTGCAAAACTCCATTTAACAAAGGGACTTCAAGTTCCGTTGACCTTATATATTGATTATTCATTTGTGTTTAGCGTAGACCAATAATTTATTTACTTCGTAAGGAGATAGATATTTAGTAATAAGATAGAATTAATGCGTTCTGACTTTCTTTCTGATAAAGGCAAGTAGTTAAAGTTCGAAAATTAATAATCAGTAGTTATTCTATTTTTAGCCTTTAAAGCCTCATTTAATACCTATTTAAGCTGCACAAATATATTTCAGTTTTTTCAATAGCAAATTTAGATACGTTTCGTTTAAAGGCACGAAAATTGTTATACATATATTTGTTGTTTGTACGAGACTATTAACGCTTACATATTATTATATGGCATAGTCTTTTAGCTTACCCTGAAAACAGAAAGTCTGCACATTTTTTCTGAAAATGGGTAAAAAGCTTTTTCAATTCCATATTTAGTTCTAAATTTGACAATTTTATCTTCATTCTCGTAACATTATAAAAGAGAAACCTAATAAAACGGCAGATATTCGCAAACGATTCAATGAATCCTTACATTGGCTAATTGAATTAGCTAGCAGTACTTAATTTCCTACTAGTAGTAGTTAACAGTACTGTTGTATATTCAAAAATAAGAAATTTATTATTGCTGAATAATATCCCGTACGACAATTGACATTCATTTAGTAAGGTAATAAATGAATGTCAGTGTGCAGTACAACAGTAACAGTATAAACACACTTATGTTTGTACTGTGAGCAAATGTAAAATCTGTTATAATGGTAAAAAAAAATTGTTTGATAATTTGAAAATTGTAGTCTAACTTCTATACTGATAGGATTTTGATTTAGATACGTTAATTTTATTTTACATGCATAATGAAAAAATCTTGGTAATTTTCATAAGAAGACTTTAAAGTAGAAGCCACGCTGTAGAAGAATAAAAACGTATAGACGAGCACCACCAAAGAAATTGAATGCTGTCAATAAAGTTTTAGAGATAACATATAAACAGATAAAAAAAAAACTACTTTTTGAATCATATTTACAGTCAACTTTCGCAATCTAACTGAATCTACTGCGTGAGTTTTGGCAAAGGCTCTCTTAAGTTATCAGGAACCAAATATAGCATTACTATGTTAAGTAATAATAAATTCATTTGACGTCATTGATAACCAATGTTGTCTCGTTTAAAATAGTCTAATGTGAATATTTGTAAATGCCCGTACGATAAACGAGACAAGATAGAATAGATTTAGTACTCTAAACAGTAAACATGTGCGAAACCTTTGGACATTCTAAGATAAGCTGGTATCTATCAGCTCGAGTACACTATGTACTATTCATAGATGTATCAAAATCAAAGTTCTACTCAAAGTGGGTACGATTTTATGACTGACTGTAATGAAATGAAAGAATAAAGATATAATTTGCTGTAATTATTAAACTCGCCAATTAAAACTAATCATCAAAGATCTCATTAATATTCGTACCTGATGCGTCAATGTCGTTACTTAAAGTACTGAACAATTACAAAGGAATTGAGTAATATAAAGATTTTGACGTGTTTAATAAGAATGTGTTCGTGATCTATTTCTACTTAATTATTTGATCAACGTTATTCTTTATCAAACAGAATCGCCCTTATCTTGCGATATGATGTCAAAATTAAAGCTTATCAGCTTTTCTTTTCAACAAAATGAGTTTGCTTGAGGTCACAGACCAACATACACGAAAACAGCGTCGACCCCGACCTTGATGATATTACCTCTTATCAGCTATTTGCTATTCGACATGCTTAGAGAGTTATCGTAGTTAGTTACTACCAGGCTTGTCTTAAGCACAACAGGCGCCCGGCAAATAGTACTCTGGTGCCCCCCCCTGTCCATTTTTTACACATATTTATATAAGAGATCATCATCTGTGCGGTGCCCCCCAACGCACGGCGCTCGTGTGCATTGCACACCCTGCACTATAGGTTAAGCCGCCCCTGGTTATTACGTTCTTAACGATGTGTGTACCTATATTAGAAATTTATTCGATAAAGTTTGGTCAAATAATAATCTGTAATGTTATTTCTAAAACAACGATGTCTTAAATATTTATTTGGTAAGATTTTATTGGAGTGAGTAAATCTTATTTTATTATGAAAAACAATTTTCGATGGTTTTTGACCAGCTATCGTCTATGTAAACAAAGATTGAGCTGTTGCTCCCTCTCCAGTTCTTTTGATTTTGTTTTTAATAAAATTTTTGGGAGCATTCGTTTTGTAGGAACGTTAATCTGATTCGTTAGGTAAGGACTAATAATTTTTATTTTGCGTGAGCTGATGCGTGCGTTTTTTCTTCAAACAACAATCTTGACTTATTTGTACGGAAGTACACACATGGCGTTTAACTTACATACCATTTTCTTTTCTCAATTAAATTATTAAGCTTGAATAAAGAAAATACTCGCTCACTTTCACGAAGTGCACACACACGAATGAGGATTAAATCATCAAGAAAGTTACGTTTCAGTCACAACTACTTAAAATAACTTTGTAAGTATTTTTTCATCCACTAGAGTCAAATTCTTGTTACTAAATTTGACAGACGTAGTGGGAATATTAATTAGCGGGAATTAATATTCCCACTACGTCTGTCAAATTTAGTGCTGCCAACACAATAAACGGTCAATCGATTGTCGATTGTATTTAAATAACAGTTTAAGGAACAGTTTCTATTTCGATTTGGTTAACGTTTCAACTTTAGCGCGATACCAATATATCGGTCAACTGGTCTTGAAGCGAAACTTCTCTATGAAAATGATGATACAACAGAGGCCAATCAAATAAAACCTACTTCAAAAGAAAATAAAGTTAATAATGTTTTATTTTTCACTGAACTACTGTAATATACATATCTATACTGTGACAGCGATGTGCTTAACGTCGACAGTCTTGAACTAAAGTATTCAGACGGTTTAATTTCAAAAATACTTTCAAAATATATTAAAATGGCTAACTATAAAATACTACTTTAACAATAATAAACTTCATCGGTAACCATACAACAACCAACCATCGACCGGTTTATTACGAGGGTCAAACTGAAAGTTCTTAGAAAATCAAAAACTGATTACATTAGCTAGTTATTAGTTTTATTATATCTTTTCAAAATATTGTCCATTCACGTCAATACACCGCTGCATGCGATGGAACCACTGGGAAAAGCACTTTGCCCACTCGTCCTTAGGGGTCTCTTCAATGGCATCGCGATACGCAGCCACCGCTTCTTCAGCATTCATAAACCGCTTTCCTTTAAGTTTTTCTTTAATTTTTGGAAATAAATAAAAATCACAAGGCGCGAGGTCGGGGCTATACGGCGGGTGACCCAGTAATTCAACGTTTGATGTCGCCAAATAGTCGATCGTTCGCTTGGCGGTGTGCGACGAGGCGTTGTCGTGGTGAAGGAGGATCCTACTGCGAGGTCGTTT